GGCACTTTAAATAACTTAAGACAGATCATGGGCAGGAAAAAAGGAGGAAACATGATGGTGGCAGTGGAAGGTATATTTAGTGAAGCAGGGAGCTGAATGCATGACAGTGCAGTTTACTGATCAGTGCATGCAGAGCATCAGATACGCAAGTTACACTGATGCTTGGTAGTTTTAAATGAGTGGAAGGAATGTGTCACAGTGCCGTCAGCTGCCACCAGACTAAGAAGATTAGACCAGGTCGATTAATGGTCAGCAGACCTGTAGCTCCACTGTGATACCACTAGGTAGCGCCAATCTTATACATTAGTATAAGTTGGGTGGATGAGTAATCTTTAGGTGCACAGGATGTGTTGCCCCTCCTCATACCATTTAATTTTACCTCAATTTTGTCATCAGTCGATTTACAAGTGACGCATTGTCTCATACATCATGCTGTTTGTATTTATCAGTACATTCGAGTTCTTGGTTGCCTTATTTTCTGTCTTGTTTGTTTCCTGTCAGAGCTCAAGCGTTGACCTACCTCCTACACATACTATAGGTGGAGTAATCATTATCAGGATTTGTGGAAAAGCTCAGCACTTAAGTCATGACCTCATGTGTGTTATTTAAAAATAATCCAGTTTTTAAATGTACAGCTGGGGAACTATCTACAGTTCACATCTTACACACTGGTCCTTTAATGTTATCCCTTCACTTTGGTATAATGTGCCCCAGTCCCCCCTTTTCTCTTAATTGTCTGGCCAGAGAGGTATAAATGTTCCTCTTTTTCTCTTTGTTGAGCACACTGAGATGAGTTTGAGTTTGTTTACACACACGCTTCCTTTCGTTTTTGGAGTATGCTGGTTATGTGCTGCATAATAACAACACTATCCATAAAATCTGCATATGCATGCTAGCTGAAGTACGACAGAATCCAGGATACTCTGACATGTAAACATCCAGCTGGCTAGTCTTTCTCTGCCATGCTAGGAGGTGTGTCTTTAACTCAGCTTATGTAGTATATAATGATGAACATGTTGAAATAAAAGGGAAGTCTGGCTTCAGATGCAGATCATAAATTGTACCGTTGCTCTTGTTTTCCATTAAGCATTTATCAGATAGAGAAGCCAACAGAGCTGTAAAAGCAGCAGAGTTTAAATGGCCAGAAAGCAAACTGTTTTCTTTTTCAATTATTGAGGTAACTCAGTCGGCTGAGTGGCTGAGATGTTCAGGAATCAAGGCGCACCTGCACGCAGACACCAGATGCCAGAAACAAATTATAAAAGCCTGGATAAGACTCAAAACTATAAATGTCCTCATTGTTTGTGACTCTAGCTCGGTCTTTGAGGAAGAGCTCTGTTACTTTGCCCAGTTAATTGTTATGTATATGTATTACAATTCAAGAAAAGTGGTTTGTTTTTCATGAATGTTTGAAATTTGGGTAGATCAAACTATGTGACTTGCTTGGTCCCTTACACTTGTGAATCAAGCAGCTACTGTAGGCCTGCCCAGCTGCTCCTATCTGGCCTTCATCTCTGTCTCTCTTTCTTTCCATCCCTCTCTTGTGTGTACCCACAAACTCACACACAGTAGTATGACTCACTGGCAAATGGAATATGAAAAGGATGCTAATACCGTGAAGCCCAAGTTAAATGACTGCCTGTGGAGATTGTATTATCATCAATTGACATCAAGTTAGTGGTTTGCTGGCTAATAACATTAGGAAGAACAAAGCGCTGTGTGAGGTCTGCATTATGTCCTGAGTACTGCAACACACACACACACACATAGAGCTTGATTCTGTAATATGATGCTCACTGTACACAGACACAGGCACGCAGAGGCATGCACTCACATCGGCTGGATTCACACTGACGTGCAGTGTTGGGAATTAAGATAGCTTAGTGGATACGGGTGGACGCACTGCCAGTGCATTTGTAAAATAAGTCGCAACCTTTTGGTGGCAAAACATCAATCTGCAGTTTGGTGTCGGGTGCCAAAAACTGGCAGAGCAGAATGAAGAAGTAGTAGAACAAACATCATTAATCCCTCTTACAACTGTGCAAGCAAAATATCTACGCACACACACACACACATATAGAGGATGCCTCTGACGGAAGCCTGCATGCACAGACAGACAGAGATGCGTCATTCCTGATCTCACAGATAGTAACCCTCTGCCAAAGTCTGGCTTTTACGTTCTTCTTAAATCCCTTCACCGTCCACAGCACCTCATCATTTACAAAGTCTGAAGCGGAGAGGCATTATTTGGTGGTGGGCGTCGACGTTGGGAAAGGACCCACTGTGGGAATGAAAACAGCTTTGGATACAAACAGACTGCTTCCAGGCCAACACAGAACATATGTGTCCCCTTTTGGTAGCTTGGCCTAATATGCATAATGCCAGACTACCAAAACAACCCCCACTAATACTTCCTAACGTCGCCTCCACCCAAAAAACACCCATCCTAAGCCATCTCTTCTTTATCTGCTAAAGCTGGTTAAGAGGCGAAAGGTTGGTGTTAGTGAAAAATGTCTGTCAAACGTCATGATTGACCTCCTACCGACAGCCAGCAGTGTGTGAGCTATAAAAGCAGAACAGTGAGTTTCACAATGAGAGAAATGGAGAATATTTATTGTTACCAATTTAAAAAATACAGCAGATGCCCAACAGTGCTGGTTGAAGCTCTAATACACTCATGCTCAAATCAGATCTATGTATTAAGGATTAAATGGTTGCTCTGATAAAACAATGTGTATTCGTATTTGAGAGTTTGTCACCCTTCCCTCTCTCTCGTCTTCTTTCTCTCTGTCTCGAGATGGAGATGGCTGCATGCAGTGTGTTGGTGTTGTGTGTGTTTAAACCAGAAAACCGCTGTATTCAGCACAAAGCTGCAGCTGTAGAAAGAGAGTGATCTGATTCAGCCCCCAGCAAACCGGACAGCTGCAGTGTCCGCCGGATTAACCCTGCTGAACTAGCACACAGACCCTGAACGCCGCACACAAGTCCACATTCACGATATTGAAACTGTTGCACAGATCTACACATTCCTCCACCCATCCATTGTTTTATACCTGCTTATCCTGTGCAGGGTTGTGGAGGGCTGGAGTCTATCCCAGTGCACACTGAGTGCTGGGTTTCGTTTGAAATCATTTGATCCTGGTGCCGAGTTTTGGTACCAGTTTTTCTTGAACCCCCTGTTCTTGTTAAATGAAAAAAGGGGGTTCTCTGAACACAAGCTGCCATAAAAGAACTTTGCCTACTTAAAAAAACTTTTAAAATAAATAAAACATAAAACGCGGGATATTCTAAGTTTAATCAGAAAAAAATATGACAGTTGTCTATATTCAGTGCTACGGACACATTTTGGTCGGCACCAAAGAGTAGTGAGGTAAGGATTATATATCGTTATTGTGCATGTAAGGCCACACAGGTTATTATTGTTTTCAAATGTCTACATCATATGAATAAACATACTCACACACAACCAGCCACTCCATTTTCACTTCAGCATTTTCAGGAATCTTGTGCAAACCAAGCAAAAAGAACATTTTACATTATAACCCATACTAGATTTTTGCCAATAGTAATTTTTTTTTCCATAAACACAATCTTGATATGGATCCCTTACATTTGTTTTTGTTTTTTATTGTGGCCAAGAAATGCTCCGATTGGAACATTTTAAAGTTGAAAAATCAGCTTGTCTGCGGTCTTTAGTGGACAAACATTGTCATAAATGGTGACACGGTTTATAAATGACCTCAAACCTAGTATGGCATATTTCTGTATTGCAATTTCTTGTTATCTATTCACCAACATACACCGATACGAAATATCTGCATTAACAGGCTGAAATATTGGCCTGTCCAATTTACTGTACTGACACGTGTACATTTTTCGAATCCAGCCAGGAACCTTTTTGTATGTCATCCTTCTCTCTACATACTGTTGCATATCTGCAACAGTATGCTTCCAAATAAAGATTTTAAAAAGGGAAAACAATGACAGCCTAGTGGCAATGGCACAGGCCCGTCAGTACATCACATGGTTTTGTGAAAGGAGGTGGGGGTTTGTGGAAGAGGTGGGAGGGTATAAAATGTCCTACTTTGCCTGTCACCGAGCTCATGCAACAGCACTTCATCAATGACCTCATGGTTCTGCATTCAATAACCGTGCACACACACAGACGCTGGCCTTGTGTGGGGGCGAAAAGTGCTGTGAGTGGCATACACGAGTATGGTGGTGGTTGAGGAAGGTGATCGTGACATACGAGTGTAAAAGAGCTGCTTTCTGTGCGACAGAGTGCTTCTAGAGAGCTGTGAGACGGACCCATATTTGCACATTAGGTTGTTTTCAAAACAGACATTTTGTCTTGGCTCTGTTTTATTCAGGTGTCTCAGTAAGCCATGGCAGTGTGACCGTGACTCATCATGCATAATACCAGGACCCTGAAACTGAAGCAGCTAAATGTATTTCAGCCATTGTTTATTTTATTATTTACACATGTGCTTTTTCTACTGTGACATATCAAAATGTCTTCTGTGAAAAAGACCTATCTTCACAGATTATTGACAAAATAAATGATAACTAATTAGTCAGGTGCTACCCCATTACACCACTATTAACACGCAAAATAACCTTAAAAACACACTAAAATGTCACGAAACATCCCTGACTATCCAAAATCACATCTGCACACACGATAAAGTTGCAACTCTGTTGCTTAAGTTACTGCCACATAGACATATATTTTCTGCAACAAAAGATGCATATTACAGTACTGCACAGAGAACTATAATCTCTTGTTATTGCAATCTGAAATGTATTTTCAGCTCAGTGAGAAATCCACCTCACTCTAAAGCCACCACAACAAAGCCTCTCACACCCTTTCATTTCTCTTTAACAGGATTCATAGCACGTGCTGAAATTGCTGCTCACTGCTTATCTGTCATCCATGTCTGTCTGAACTGAAGTTGTGTGGCAGGATCACTATTATAATCAAGGAAACTGTAGAGGTCTACCTCTTCGTCATCGCTGGGCAGGCGTTGGTAGTCAGGCTCTGACGTCTCCTGCAGCCTCTGGTATTCTGCCGTCTCCCCCATGGTGGGGCTCCGACACCCGGCCGGTACCTGCCAGGGGCTATGTGTCCTTAAATTCCTCAAATAGCCACAGCTCCAGTCAGTGAGCAACCCACTCCCTTAGTCAGTCAGTTGGTCAGTCAGCTCGCTTCGAGGTCTGTGCTGTCATTTAGGAAGACAAGTACAGTATTTTGCATGTCATTCACAGCACAGCATTATTTCAGATAGCTGAGCACAATATTTCTAATCATTCCTATTAACTATGCTGTATACCTCCAGTGATCCCGCCTTCATTGTCTCCCTCATTTAGGTAGCGTCAGCTTTCCCTGAAAATGGCCGGACAATGAGTATCTCATGTTCACACAGTGATAACAGGGCAGCGTTCACGAACTGACCAGTCTGTAAAAACACAGGTGCTTATCTTTATGGAAATAAGTCTTACTAACGCATTCCTCTGGCACGCAGCAGACAGTAAGTCTTGATGCAGAATGAACATAGTCCCTAAGAAAAATAGAAGACAATCTGCTTTTTTAAAAGATGTACAGTTTGTCCCTTTCACATGCAGATGGTTTAAATCTTCAGGAAGCATCCGAGGTGTGAAACTGATCATTAATGATCGTTATTGTCCCCCTTGATAAGGAAATCCCATGTGTAGAAGCTGCTGCAGTCAGGATGGAGCGCTGGGAGGATGCAGCCAAGGTGTGGCACTGGAGGTGACAAATCCGGCAGGCTCTATTTCTGTCGTCCCATCTCACGCCACGGTAATCACCTCTACCCTCAATCTCTCTCTCGCTCTACCTCGCTCATCTCTGCCGTCACTGTCTCTTTCTCTATCTCTGCCCCCCTCTCTCTCCCTGTTTCTATTTCTGTGCCCCAGGCATCACTGCGGCCAGCTTACCTCCTCTCGCTCATTGCCAGGAGTGAAGTATCACAGCAGTGTAAGGGAGAGCTGATTTTCTTTATTTTTCACCTGTTTTATTTCATCCTTCCTTTGTACGCTTCTATTTTTTTCCCCTTGAGTAGCTGTCCAATCGGACTAGCAGCTCAGCTCTGACGATCAGGATTTTAACGCTGCTTTGTTCTAAATGGACTTCCTGATTGCTCGGTGGATGCCTAATCCCTCGCTGGTAATGTTTTCCCTCTCCTCTCCTCCTTTCAGTCCATCACCCTCTAACCCCCTGTTCGCACTCCTCCATTTTTTTCCCATTTCAGCCCCGGCTCAATAATTTGGTGAGTGGTCGCCTCCTCTATTACCGTGTCAGTATTAACCAATCCCACCTCGTCCTGTGCTCTGTAGTCACGGCAATCTAGTCAGAGGTGGTCCTGATAGAAGTAGCCAATGACAACGAGGCCGGCCGACAGGGGAGGGAGGAGAGACGGTAGCAAGAGGTGGGGGGAGCCCTAATGAGGAGAGTTAATCCTCCCTCTGAGAGGGAGAAAAACACGGCCATGCTGCTTTGTCTTGTGTATGTGCGCGTGTGTGTTTGTATATATGTGTGTTAAAAGCACCTCTCCACTATAGGGAGGGTATCCAGGCCATCTGGATCCTTGCTGAGTAGACATCTGGATGGAGGGGAAAATAGAATAAAAGAACTGTGTGTGTGTGTGTGTGTGTGTGTGTGTGTGTGTGTGTGTGTGTGTGTGTGTGTGTTGTGAAAGACCTCCTGGTCTTCTCCAAGTGGTAGTGTGACAAGCACAATTGCAGTCCAAGCCCTGATGCCACTTAATGACAGCTCGTGCTAGCTGACTCACACGTCTCCTTTCACCCCTCTCTCCATGTCACTCACTCTTTATTCTTCCCTCTTTCCATCCTACACTTTTCTCTCTAATGTTTTTTGTAGCTTCCCTCTTGTTCCATACCACTCCTTTCTTTTCCCCCTCTCTGATTACATTCCAGTCCTGTTGATGTCCTCGGGCCGGTTATTCGCAGCCCGCTGAGCAACATTCGCCTTTTGCTCTCATTCCTCCGCCTCTCCTCTGCTCTGTTGTTGAATCTGCTGAATCTGGAGGCCGGCTGTCACACGTGAGCGACATGCAACATTGCGCAGTAAATACACAAACATGCACTTGGCACATGTACGCATCAACAAACAAACATTTCTACATACTGAAACACTGTGCCTGCATGCAGACACAATACAAAGCAACAAAGAGGCCTGTATTTCTGCATTTAGCAATGGACATAATTATATCTGTATATGTCTTGAAGGCATTGCCAGCAATCACAATCAAATCCCCTTTGCATGAACCAGTGCCCCCTCCTTTTCTCTTTTTTTATGGATATGGCTTTGTGTTCTGGTCTCTGGGGTGTACTGTTCTGTTGTTCCCCTCCCTCTCTTACAACTGAATTGCAAATCAGTGATCCTTATTGGTCAGGCTTGCCACTGGGGCAGCCTATAAGATCTCCAGTCTAGTAGAAACTGAATGAACATCCATGGCAGTCTCAACAAACAAGGACGCATCCCACTTGTTTGTCTCAGTCCAGCAGGTTAACTGACAGTCCCTCTGACAATGAGAGCTGTCATCCCACGTAGAACAAAAGCAGAAACACTGCAGCTTAGTATCCTTTTCACACTAAATTAAAATTAAGTTAATAAAGAAGATGTAGGGGAGAGACAGAAAGACAAGAGAAGAGACATCCTGTCCGATTGAGGCCATGATAAATGGAGCAGGGCTGAGCTTGGTGTCATATGGGGACGCGGCTTTCCACCGCCTCCCCCTGATGACGCTAACGTGCTCCATTATAGACTGTATGGCACTTTGGTAAGACTAGTGCAAAGCTGACTAGTATGAAAATATTCATGTGATCATACAATTTGTTTTCTTGCATTCTTACTATGCAATATGTGGTTAAAAAAAGTTATGAAAAAGAAGAATTGCAAAGACAAAGACAATGTGCCTGACACCATTTTTCTGGAATAAAACTAATGTTCTGTAGGAGGAAAATACTGATTATGTGGATATTATGGATTCTCAAGAAGTATGTTGATGTGTTCCTGACTCAGTGAGTTCCCATATTTTGTATATCTTGCATAGTGTCCTTACATATTTTGCACAAGGAGTTGTCTATACTACATTTCTGCTCAGATAGGATGCCTTTCACTATTCTATCCTTCAGAAGTCAACTCAATACAGCTATACTATACTATAGAAACTCTTTCCACAATTTCTTGGCCAGAAATTCTGATATATTTATTAATGTACTGTATTAGTATAATATTTAATCTTTTTAATTGAGTCTGCCTTGGGCTCAAAGTGTGAAAATATTCAAGTGTTCAAAGTATTTTGAAATAAACTGTTTACAAGAGCTGCAACTATTAATCAATGAATAGAAGTTTCTTAAATGTGACTAGTTTCTTTACTTCTCTGACAGTTAACTGAATATCTTTGGGTTGTGTACAAAACAAGACATTTAAGGATGTTCTCTTGATCTTTGGGAAACACAGATTGACATTGACAATTTTGTAGATTTTGTAGAACAAACAACTAATCAATCAATCAATCAATCAAATCAGAGACAGATTTGTCTACAATGGAAATAATCATTAGTTGCAGCCCTGTATATAAAATATGAAATTTGGACAGAAAATGTGTATTTGTATGTCATTACCTTCTGCTTTAAATAATTTTTTTATTAGTGAGCTAAATATAAACATGTTAGTTATCAATAGGAATGTGTCATTTTTATAGAGCTGATGCAAAGACGTGAGCAAACTTTCTTTTTTTCTCATATATGTTATATTCTTTTGTCAAACATGGCATCAAAATTTCCCAGTAACATCAACTGTTCAGAGAGCACCACCATTCACCTCTGACCTCTCTGCTTCCATTACAGGCCACATTTCACACACTCTCCTCCAGAAACCTGGAAAACCCCTTTAATAACCAAACGCTGGGGGCTTCAACCTTTGACCCCAAAGGCTTCATTTGTCAGCCATCTTGTGTCAGGGGGAAGATAAAGCTGAGCCTGTTAAAACCTGTATACGCCTTCTCTGTCCCTGTGATAGAGGGCAAGGAGAAGCACAGCAGACAGGCTGTGGGTGTAACGGTACAGTGTTCCCAGCCCAAACATCACAGGCCGTTTAAACCCTCTCTCTGAGGACTCGAAATGGTCTCTTAAAGACTAAAAGGACTGTGGACTGGGTCCCTCCTGTCTCTTTACGACTGTTGGTGGGTAGACTGCAGGCTCTGGGGGCAGCAGTAAGCTTTTGAACAGGAGCTGGATGAAATCCCTGATGTCTACTACTGATCTGTGGCTCGTAAGGTGGAAATTTAATCAGGGGTAGTAACTGGACAGTACAGCAGAAGAGGTTATGCTGTACTGTATCTACTGTATGTATATGTGCATTTGTGTATTTGAGAGAGAGAGCAAGGGAGTTCACATGCCTCCTATAACATCTTTAACAATATATATATATATTATATATGATATATTATCAATATATGATATGTAACGATTAGACATTTATCCATATGAGTGAATATTTGACAAAATGATAAATACAGTCGTTAAATGAGAAAATCGAAGCAACTAAATTTTTCATGATCAAAACACAAAATGTACTGGTTTCAAAATGTTTCATGTCATGTAGTTCAATTCACATATTACATTCACTGTGTTGGATATATTTTTCTGTAGCTCTCCAGCTATTTGGAATTGGTCTTCCATTAATTTTAGGAGCTCACAACAGACAGATCACACAAAAGTATTATCGATTCATTGATTAGCTAATCAACAGAAAATATATCAGCTGTTGTGAGGGTTTACAGCTTTTCTCTCTTTTATATAATTGTGAACTGAATATCCTTCGGTTTTGAATTTTTGGTCAGACAAAACAAGACATATGAACATTTCACCTTCACCTCTCAGAAACTGATGGACACTTTTCACTTTTTCCTGACAATTTATAAACCTGACGATCAGAAGATTATATAAAAAAAATTATCATTAGTTGCAGCCCTAAAGAAGTCAGGTCAATGCAACAGAGATACTTTATGCTAAGTATGGATGAAGATCCAAAAACACTGGATCCTATACTTGCTGAAATGCATTTTTTCATCAGACCCTTGCTGCCTAAATGTGCACATCTTTTCAAACTCACACAGTGTACTTCAAAAAGTGTACTCTTCAAGCCCAAATTGAAATTACAGGGTTATTATCAGGGTTATTTTCTCATTTCAGACACAACTCCTCCAGAAGACATTATACAATTATTCAACTCCCAGCACAACGACATGTAGTGGAGTGCGCCTTTAACTTTGAAGATGAAATTTCAAAGAAAACCAGACTCGGGCCAAATCCACCACACTGACCCTCTACTCTCCA